CAAGTACGACGCGAACATCGGCACGAACACGTGACGGGTGTTTCGCGCCTAAAGCTGGCCTACCCACTTCGATGATGTTGAAGGCCTGGATTGGCAGGGCCATCCGAGACCAGCCATCGAAGACCACCTGATTCTGCTCGCCGCTCCACGGCTTCATTCGGGTGATGGCGTCTTCTAGGTCCTACGGCAAATAAACAGGGGAAGTAGCATGTATAAGGAAGCAGTTTATGTGGAGAAAGCGACGTTGCTGAAACAACGTGTTCCCATTGAGGCCTAGGATAAATCAAGCCAATCACACATAGGCACACTCAACAGACAAGAAAATGCTATGCAGTAAAATGGCCTTCTAGAGCCAAGCATACAGACGCCGTCTAGGAGGACCACGATCTTGACGGTCTACCCCTAATAATCCGAACAGGCCCCACAAAACACATCAACAATGGAGACACGCCGGCTAGCTTTATTTCGCATCGTTCACGGGGTGTGCCCAATGCATTCAGCCTAGATTTGTGGGGCTGAAGATAGCAGCTACGCATCAGGTTTGAGAAGAGTGAAATGGTTTTCCCATGAATCAAAACATTCGGTAAGAGTGTCGATACATCAAACTGACTCACAGTCGCTGGGCAACCCTATAGGCCCGATGTACACAAGCTTTGTTATTTGCTATAATCTATCGGATGCTCTTTCTCTCTCTCTTTCTCTCGCACTTAAAAAGAACTATTTTGTCCAGATATAAGTTGCTAACGACGTATTCTACATCGGAGTCAAGCAACACTTCAAAATTTATCTCCTGCAGCAATGTACAAGCGTGTTAATTACAATAAATCCATTAACGGTTTAAACTGCATCACCCATTATTTCTATACAAGGTATCCCAAAAATATGTATGCGTGTTTTGACAGCTTCGATGTCGATTGATGTGTCTTTTCCTTCAGATTTAGCTCACTAAGTCGACAGTGGCAGACGGAATGCGTTTCTAACTTGATGTATTTTATTCTTATTAACACGGAACAATCTCCTATAACCTTCCTGATGTAAGACCCAACCTTAAGGAAATCCTGCCATACAAGCGGATTACACGAAGAAGGTTCATTGAATCCCCTCCTCGTTTACAAGGCTTTACATTCTAGGCTTCGATGCGAATGCTTAAAATATAATCTATGAGACAAAACTGGCAAGTCACCTAATTTTAAGTCACTATTGAAGAATAATGTACTGAGATAACCGACGATACGCCTCTTGGTGTGTGCGATTGCATTACTTCACGGTATTAGCAGTGCCTGGGCCAGAACGGAAAGTAGTTTGAAAACAAGCGTTGAGAAAACGATGAAACAAGGTCTGTGGATTTTACTGCGCTTTAAACATCGAATACATTTTGATAGATAGCAGCTTCATAATTATTCTAAGTGTGCATACACTTTTTTGGGGAAACACTGCATATAGGACCTAGTGGCCAAGAAAAGTTTTGATAAACATAAGTTTGCAACGACCGAAAACAACAAACCATAACTTGTGTGTTCAAATAAAAACCCATGAGTTAACTAACAATTTTTCTAAATAGGGAAAAAATGGTTGAATAACATAGATGAATTTGCAGCAGATAAAATAACAAACCTGTCGAACTTCAAAGGTGGACTCCAGGCGAAAGAGTGTGAAATTGCGCACAAGATAGTCCTGCAGGGTAAGAAATTGGAGACCCAATTTCGGTAGGGCAAGACATTCCTCCCCTGAGCAGAACTCTGTCGGCACGAGATTCTCATTCCACAGAAGGTCTTCAGTGGGATAGAGAGGCGCATTATTCATTTCAGCCAGATGCGATTCCCGGCGAACAAAGTGGAAAACCAGGATCTGAAATTGCAGAGAGGAAAATAAGCAAATTCAATTCAAGAGTCGCAACGCAAAAAGGAAAATTCGTTGGCGGCGTCCATTACTTGCCTTAATGAGCATCTCCTTTTCAAAAATGTAATCAGGGAAGGCAGGTTGATGGGCAAGGAGGGGAGCGTCGTTGGATTTCGTGCGTTTAGAGGCGGGCTCTGACACATCCTCTTCCTTCGGCGGCAGAAAGGCAAACCGGGCGGCCAGATCGCGCAGCTCATCAACGTGCAGCTTGTGGAAGAACTCCGACAACTTTTCCTTCGTTTCACACGCCGCTGGGTTAGACACAGCAAAATCGCGATAGAAGTCCTCCCGCTTCAAAGCGAACACTTCCAGCCGAAGTTGATTCAGCTGAGCGCAGTGTCTGCACAAATTGGACGGAAGGGCACTTAAACAACCTGACAAGATTATATCGGACCGTTGAGATAGCAAGTCACAGCACGTGGCAGAACTCAAAATCATCAGCTTTCGAGTACGTCTTCGTAAATGAACGCATGCAGCTTTCCTCAAAGGATATCCATTTACCTCACACATAGAATAGTGCAAATTATACTAAGGGGTATTCCCGTGGATATTGGTAAAAAAAACTCATGAATGAAGAACAGTGATAGGGAGGAGATCGGCAAAATGACAGTTCCTAATTAAATGAGGGCAATTAAGAATACGACTGACAGCCTACACATTGAGGCGATATATGAAAAAGAAAGTGCCCTCGATATCCGAAAAATGATCATTGTGTGAAAAGGCTGGAAGAAATCCCGCCCAAATAAAATCCTGCTGACCACTTGGATGTGAAATAATTGAACCTTTTGTTGGTAGAAAAGTCGC